AAGTTAAATTATTAACAAGAGTAATAATAATGGATAGAAATATATATGAGACTTCACAGTCTGTAAAACATTTCATACTCGCCTCATTTAATTGGCATAACTACCCTATGAGGTAAATATGTGCCCATTTTACAGATAAAAAAACTGATCCAAAGCAGTTGAGTATGTTGAACTGAATTTCCCAGATAGTAAAAGGCAGAGCCAGGCCTCAAACCCAGATCCTCTCATCCCAAAATCTCACTCTTCCCACTTCATCTCACAATGCTGAGCTTGTCAAGAAACTGCTTATGAAACATTTGCGTGGACCCCTAGGGAACATATGAAGCATCAAAGAAATGTCTCAACATTTCAAAACAACTACCAATCTGATCATTTTAAAGAGGCAGCCCAAAACTCTGAGGCTGAAACATGTCAAACCTTTCTAACGTTGGTGAGATCCTGGCCAGTGTTATTAAGAACTATAGAATGACTGTCTCAGAATCATAAATGCTAAGTTGCAATCCATTTTAATTGTGAAATCTAGACTCCTCTTTCAGTTCTCATCCTCCTTAACCTTTCTGTAATATTGATACTCCTGACTCACTAGCACACTGTAGACACTTAATATTAATAAATGTTTGTGGAATATGCCACAGAGGTGACAATTTTTTAAAATTCCTCAAGATCACAAAGTTAATAGGATATGATATAACCATTTGACTTACACCAACAAAGGCTCCAAACTCATTTTCCCCATATTAGAATAGAGCTTCACAATTAGTACCTTTTTGGTTGTTCTATATCATGCAGTCAATCTTTAGAATCCCTTTCCTTTCAATTCAACAAACTTTGTAAGCACCCTCTACTTTCTACATACCTTGTTCTAGCTACTAGAACTTAACAGAAACCCCAAAGCCAATATTACAATTTGCTTCTAGGCACACAGGAAATACATCTAGGTTCTTGATATCATTACTAAAAGATGATGATGAAAATTTTTAATTAAACATTTTTTAAAACCTGTCAGTGTTCTCAGAGTACCTTCCTAGAGAACACAGACAATGATTAACCATGACCTAATAATTACCTTGAATAAGACTAAAAACCTAGTCATGTAGGTTAGAGATCTTTAGCAATGTGCTTTGATGGCCCAAAATTTTGAAAAATGAAGCCAGAAGTATGGTCTTTGGGAGTTGGAGCATAAGATGTGGCATAAACTCTGGACCAAGCAGAAAGCACATGGCAGATGGTTGTATTAACCTATCTCAGCATTCCTCTTAGGCAGTCCCGGGACAGGTGACCCATCCAATTTTTTAAGAAAATTCACCAAGGTCATCTTTTCATTATACTTTGCCTCATCTGATAACTCAGGATCAACAGAAAAGGAATCTAGAAATCTCAGGCTAGGGGCATTCAAAGGACATGTATCTAAAAATGGTCAAGTAGAAAGACTGAAGGAGGAGACTTGGGTTCAGATTTTAGCTCTATCACAGGTCACAAGCCCTTAAGCAAGGCACTTAAGGGCCCTCCCTGTCACTCCTTTCAGTCTCCCTCCCTTCCCTCCAGGGTTTAGTTACTTATCTATAAAATAATGCAAGTAGAGCAGTTGATATCTAAGGTTCTCTCCAGCTGTAAAAGTCTAAGTTTCTGTTAAAACAGGACAGGCACATGACTGAAGGGAGTTTAAGCAGAAGCCCTAAACACTAGCAAGGAAGAACCTCAAGCAGAGAAAGAGAAGCCAATTGCTATGAAATGAAAGCAGCAGTGAAGTATCAGATATGTGATGCAACCAAATGTTGCGTGTTTCCTATTGGCCCCACAATCCTTTTAAACACATAAACTTCACCCGAAGATGTAATTGTCGCAAAAGCTGATAGTAAATCACACTTGCACTGGATGAAAGACTATAAATTTGTTTAAGATCAATAATATTTTCTCAAAAAACTTCAAATCAGATCCTGGGATCTGAGAATTCCTCAAAGAAACGTTAGGGAAAATGCCTAAAGACGTTCCTATGTGAATTTGGAACCTGGAAATATGAATAGTAAGCAAAAGAATGTTACTTTGTGTTGGTCAATATAATAAAACAGCTGCTAGTTTATGATGATTGTCTATATGCTTTACACCATGCTAAGCACTTTTACATCTTTATGTTCATAAAATGCCATGGAATAGATTCTTTCATTATCATACCAATTATGCAGATAAGCAATCTGAGCCATGCAAAGTTAAGTGACTTCCTCAAGGTCACACAGCTAGAAAATGGTAAAGCCAATGCTGGAACCCAGACAGGTTGACACCAGAGTTCAGTCTCTCAAATTTTTTCTTAAAAAGCAGTATACAAAATATGAGGAAAATGCAAATAATTTTTAGCTACAGATAGGCTATAATTTTTTTAAAAGACTAACCATAAAACACTCAGAGCTCTTTTCCAAATTCTAATGATGCAAAGTTTGCAGTAAGATCTTACCTAAAATGTGGTGCTAAAATAAGGGCATTTCCATTGTAATCATACTTACTTCATCAGATAAGTAGAATCAATACAACAAGAATCTAGAAATCTCCTTAACCTTCCAGGCTAAGGACATTCAGAGGACACATATGTAAAAATGATCAAGAAGGAAGACCGGCAGTGAGAATACTTGGATTTGGGTCATAGAAACTTGAAGAGTTTCCGAAAAAATATCCACAGTAATGGAGCAGCAGGTGGATTGGACTTTATGTGGCAAAGACTTGCAAAATGCCCCTCAGCTTCTTTAGTAACCTCATGCATGGTTAGTAACTTAGGGAGCATGACATTTTTAGTACAAAAGAAGAGAGACAGAGAAACAGAGAGCTACACACTACAGCAGTTAAATTATAGCCTCTGGAGTCAGAATCTCTTGGATTTGCCTCACAGCTCTGCCATTTTCTAGCAGTATGACCTTGGGCAAGTTACTTAATTGCTCTGTGCCTCCATTTCTCATCTGTAAAACAGGGAGAAGGAGTACTTACTACAAAAGGGCATTATGAAGATTAGAGGAGTCAGTAAGTGTAAAGTACTTAGAACAGGGCCTGCCACATGTATAAGTGTATGATATGTTACTATACATATTATTATTATATATTATTATTATTATAGAATGGAAGATGGATAGATGTAAACTACCAGGAAGAGCAAGTACAGGTTATTTGGTGACTAAACCATCAATCCAGGGGAGAGAACATCTGTTTTGGTTGTACGGGGACAACCCAGATGTATCCCAGATGAATCCGGACAAGATTTCCTTTTGCCAGGCACAGACAGGAACATATAGTAAATCCTATGGCTATATTTAGGACGCGAGATATATATAACCCTAAGCACTGGGGCAAACCCTCCACAATAATAATAAATCCTCTTTCTGTGTTACCAACACTGAGAAAAGGTGTTCAAAGGAAGAATTATTAACGGTCTCCCCCTGCCTCCCCTCCCTTCCTGCGATTTTTACAAGACCAGTGGAGTATGTTGGCGTTTCCAAACTTCTTCCCAGGAAGTCTGAAATGGGTACTACTAGGAGTTGCTGTATGATTACTTAGTTGATTCCCTCTAAGGAGCTTATGCTAAGAATTGAGGAAAGAAGGCAGATTAACCATTTGAATACACGCCACGGCCCATCCACAAGCCCGCCTCTCTCTCCGCCATAAGTGGGGGCTTCCACAGTCCCCACCCGTCAACCCCAATATGTGATCCAGGGAAATCAATTTATTGCTTTGGCTAATCCTACAACAATAGGGGTTTCATTTTCATTGTAGGGCAATTAAGTTGTCGGACGAGAAGGAAGGAGCGGGAGAGGAAGAGGGGGAGGGGGGACTCTTCCATCCGCATAGACAGATTAGTCCTCGCGGAGGCAGCAGCGTCCGCTCTGTCTGTCTGGTGGTCGGTCACACGCAGCTCCCGACTGCTACCTAGCAACGCAAAGCCAGGGAGAGAGCTCGCCGGTTCCCCGGCCTCCTCTCGCTCTTCCCATTCATCCCCGGTTTCTCTCTCGCTCGCTCGCGCTCTCCCTCGCCCTCCCTCTCGCTCTCCAACCCCCCCCCCCCCCCCCACGCGCTGCTGTACTCTGTCTTCAAGCTCTGTCTCTCTCTCCTCCTTCTCTCCCTTTTCCTCTCTACTTGCTCGTCGTCTTTTCTCTTAGGGGACTCGTACTGTTTTTATTCTCTCCACTTCTTCCTCCCTCTCTTTCTCTACCTCTGTTTCTGTAAAAAGGTAAACTCTCCGACAACTTGAGAGAAGTTTAAAGCGCTTTATAACAGAAACTTTCTTCATTCGAGCCCTCAAAACTCTGGCCGCGCAGACGGGCCCCATTCATCAACACAAAAGCCCCCACCTCCCAGATGGAAAGGAAAACCCTTCAAGAAAATGCTCCAGTGCCTCAGCCGCTCTCTCAGCCAATCCCACCTCCCGGCCTTATCTTGCCTCGTAAATGATCTGTATCGAGACGCGGTCTCTTGGGGGTCACCGCGGGACCAAGTTTCCCTGGTGAAGAAGGAGGGGGGTGGGGGGCGGCTCTAGCCCGCAGCAGTCCAGGGCGCGCGACGGGATCTCCCCGGCGGGGCGCTGCAGGTGGAAAACTGCGCACCGAGCAGCGCCGAGGACCGCTCAGCCCCGGAGAGAATAAATCAGTGGGGGTAGCTGGCTGCGCACTCACTGGGGAAAGAACCTCATTCTCCGGGTCCCAACTGCAAAGCGCTTTCCAGAAGGTCGGGACAAACTCCCGTGGGAACAAAGATGGGGTCCCGGTGGTGTGAGCTGTCACTGAAACCGGAGGAGCTCCTTTCTCAAGTTTGCGGCTGCTCAGTTCCCGAGCGGACGAAGGAGGGGCGCTCCCAGTCGCCCCTCGCTGGGCAACCTGAGCGCCCCAGGGGGGGCCGCTCCGGCTTTGCCGCCCTGCCCTGGCCCCTGCAGGGCCGCGCTCCCCATCGCCCGCCTGCGGACTCGACCCTGCCACGGCAGGGGAAGTCAGGCGCGCCGCGCGGAGCTTGAGCCGGCGGGCGCTTACCTTGACCACTGGCCGGCGCCATGCAAGCGGCGAAAGCCAGCAGCAGCGTGCACGCCACCGCCGCCGCCCCGCGCTCCATCCCCGCGACGGTCCCGGGCCCCGGCCTCGCCGTTCCTTCCCTGGGAGGTGGGCGCGCGTCGCACACAGCACCCGCACCACTTCCGCTCGCGAGCGCTCCTTTCGGTCCGCGCCTCGCCGGGCTCCTAGTGGCGGAGAGCCGGCCCCGGCGCCCGAGGCATCCCGTTTTCTACCCGCGCCAGTCCCCACCCTCCAGACAGTGTATAAAGCCCTTTAGACCCGACCGCCCCGGAACTAGCATGCGGGAATCCAGCGGGGCAGGCCCCCTGCCGCCCGGCCCGCCCTCTGCACTTTGCAGCGAGGGAGGAGTGGGGACTCGAACACTCCGCGCTCACACATGCACATTCCACGCGCGCACACCCACACACGTACTCATACAGTCTCACACACAGTCGCACACACTCCTCAGTGTCACACAAACTGACACGCAGTCTCACACGCTCATTCACGCGCGTGCACAGTCCTCAGTCACACACACGCGTGCGCGCACTCGTCACACGCACAGACACTGACACACATGCACGCACACTTCACAGTTACACACCCTCATTCATACGGGCACACACACTTCTCACAGTCACTCACATGCAAACACTCGCACGCGGTCCTGCGCTGCCCTAGCCCCTCTGCAGGATTTTCCTCCGCATATAAATCGGCTAGGCGGTCCACGGAGAAATCAGACTTAGAAAAGGAAGACAGGGGAAGGGGAGAAGTAAAGAGCCTGCTGGAGAGAGTTGTGACCATTCTCTAGTCTGAAATCCGCAGTCTCCCTCCAACACTCTGGTTTCCCCCCATAGAGTTGAGGCGCTGAGATGGGGTGCTCTGTGTTTTTTGCAAGTTATGGAGGGGGTTGCATCAATGTTGGGGAGGGGATTGGACCCTTTTTTACTTTTCTTAAGTACCACATCTACAGGTGTCACGGCCAGATTGCGCTTCTACAAGTCTGTTCATTCTGAAGCAAACTTGAATGCGCTTCTACAAGTCTGTTCATTCTGAAGCAAACTTGAATGAACGTCTTGATCTTGCTGGTGCCCCTCTATGTGAGGGAGACACGAACGTAAGGGGTTCAGAGAACCCCGCAGCTCCCTTCCTTGGGGCAGTGTTGGGACAGGCTGGCGGGGAGCTGGCCCCCAAGAGCACTACAAGTGAACTTTACATTCACCCTCAGAGATTCGTCCTCAGCAGGTACGTGACACCAGAGCCAACAGAAAAAAAAAAGCAGAGTTGGTGCATCTTGTTGCCTGGCCCTGGGAGAGTACGTTTCCGGGCCCGGGGTCGCCCCAGAATCTCCCTCCCCGGTCCCTGGACTAACTCGGCAGCGGGGTCCCAGGTGCCAGGTCCTGGTCCCAGGAGTTGGGAGCCGTTTCCCTCAGTCAGAGGGGCCGTGACCGTGGAGGCGGCAGCCCTGTATCCACGAAGTCCCCGGGCAGGGTCCCTCCGCCTCGCCCTCCCCAGGGCGAGAACCTGCCGGTAAATGCCACCCCTTTTCTGCAGAGCACGGATCGTCTGGGGCTCTGCCTACCCCCAACAGTCGGGATCGCGTAGCTTCGGTGGGCTTTAGCGGTTGGTGAAGCTTTGGGGGGGGGGGTAGATATTGCTTTTAAAAAACAAAAAGAGAGAGACGGAGAAATAGACACAGAAAGTGAAAACTAAGACTTAACAAAGCAGGGCTGTGAGGAAGTGCGGGAGAGATTTCGTGGCTTTCTTCTCGAGATTTCTAGATTTGGAAATCCAGAGTTCTCTGCTCTGACCAAAGCTACTGAAACGCTATTTGCCTCTCTGCACAGTGTTTCGCGCTGTGCGGCGCGGAGGAGGAGGCAGGATTGGGGACCCGAGGCGCACGGGGGTGGGAAGTGAGAGGGACGAGCCGGGTGGGAGGAGGGAAGCGGCGAGGGGCCGAGAAGCTGCACTTTAGTCTCCCCGGGTGATTTATGCCGGTTCCGGGCGGCCGGGGTGATGGTACGAGACCGCGCCGGGGTCAGGCCGCTCCGACGCCGGCTGGAGCCGCGCTGCATAGTCAATGAGCGTCTCGGCACCACCCAGTTACAAAGAGCGGCGGCGTGCGCTGGCGAGGCGCGCCCCTGGGCCCGCCGGCGGGCGGGGGGACCGCATGCGCGGGAGGGGCTGCGCGCCTCCCAGTGCGCGCGTGGGCGCGTGGGGATGCGGGAGGGTGAGCGCGGGAGGGAGTGTGTGTGTGTGTGTGTGTGTGTGTGTGTGTGTGTGTCCTTTCACTGTAGCAGCCGGGGCTCCAAACATTCCTTTCTGCACTGAAGGGTTTTCCTCATTGTTGTTGTCTTTGTGCTCCAGTGTTGCCAACTTACTGGAATTCCTGACGTGGTTGCACAGCAGGGCTCAGGCTGACCGTATGAGCCAGCTGCGTTTGTGTATGGGGCCGACCCTGCCGTTAATCCCAGAATAACGCCGGAGAAGGCCGAAAGAATGGAGGGAGAACTGGAGGGAGGGGAGCAGATAAAGGGTGGGGATGGGGGATGAGGGACCACTAACGGAGCACAGTCCATCATTCCCAACACTATGCATGTAAACTTACACATCCACACTCTTTTCCACTAGAAAACCCCGTTTTCTCAATGCAACCCGAAACTCGTGCCGCTTGAAAACAGGCATCTTTTGCAGCCTGCACCATGCTCGTGTTTATCTGCCGTATCTATACCTGAGAATTCTCGTTGCTAGATTTGGAGGATTAAATCTAAGGACCAGCATCTGGGAAAGCCCAGGTTAATGGAGTTGTGATTTAAGGCAGCATTGTTTTTATATTATGCAAAAGTGTAATTTCTTTATTTTCCACATCTCTCTACACATATGCACATAGACTTTACAGAGCAGTTAACCAAAAGAGACAGGAAAGTGCTGAAAAGTGAAATTTATTCTAGTAAATTTATGTTAATTGACTTCCTTGATATATTTTTGACATGTCTATATTATTTTACTTATGCATCTCAACACCAAATTACTGGAAATATTTTCAGAGCATTTGTTCCTATCCTGAGCCAACTTCTGCTTCCTGCAGTGGGCATGAAGTTGTAAAATCTCCTTGAGTAAAATCCAGCTTCAGTTTGCTATTAATCCAGCCCAGATTTGCCTCCTGAGTGCCATGGAGCCACCTGTTCACTGGACAGCTCTAATCCAATGTCCCTAAAACCACAAACTCAACATGATGGAGCCTGAACCATAAACCTTCAGCGTTCCTTATCTCGGTAAGGGGCACCATCATCTGCCCCAGGGGCCAAGGTGGTAATTGTCATTCTTGACTCCTCTCTCTTTTCCCCACACCCATACGAAATCAATCATGAAATTCTGTTAACTCAAGTTCCTCAATTTTACTCACTTTTCTCTCAAACCCACCCACTTCTCTCAACCTCATTCCCAGAAGCCACCAACCTCTCCCGTCTGAATTATCACAAGAGCCTTGTAATGGGCTCCTTGTTGTCAGTTTTACCCCTTCCCATCTGTCCACCTATTTTCCTGTCTGCAAGCAGATGATCCAAAGTGATATTTCCATCAGACTAGTGCTATCAAACAAAGGTCATTACCCATTAGAGGGTTATGAAATCAATTTATCAAATTATTTTCAAATGAAATAGAATAGAATAGAAACTAAAATAACTTTCATATGGAAAAGATATGAATTGTTTCACAAAGCTCTTGTTTCAGATATATAATTTTATTTATTTATTTATTTATTTATTCCCCCTAAGCCCCAGTAGGTAGTTGTATGTCACAGCTGCACATCCTTCTAGTTGCTGTATGTGGGACACGGCTGCGTTGGTGCGCGCCCAGGATCCGAACCCAGGCCGCCAGTAGCAGAGCGCCCGCACTTAACCTCTAAGCCATGGGGCCGGCCCTCTTGTTTCAGATATAGATAGATGGATAGATATGCTGTCTCACCATGTAAAATATATTTCTTATTATGCATCTCAGTCAAAAAAGTTTGAGATCTCTCCCCACAAATTACTTATTAACTGAAAAGAGAAAATAGTAACTATAAGTGGAGAACCTGGCAGATGTTTTAATAGGATTTATTATTATTTAGGTATGTAAGGTCAACAGATCAGGAGACAACTATCATTGAAAAGATAGTTTATTATACTCACAGATCCCAAAAGAGAGAATACAGGTCACGCCTTTGGGGGCCCACAGGGCACCACCGGACTCTTCACTAGGAGACAGAAAGGGGGGCGGGTTGTGGGCAAGCACCTTCTCTGTGATTTCTGAGGGAACACACAGGCAGGCAGGGTAAACAGATTTAGGATTGGCTAGTCTGTGTTTGAAAAGCACTCCCTGGGGAGAACTCCTGAGGAGGGAGGCCAGAGGTCAAGGCAAGGTGACTCAGGCACATTATCAGGTTGTCCAGAACAAGGTGTGTCCAGCATATGCATGCAGGGCAGATGTTAAAGCATCAAGATTACAGAAGCTAGAAATATGGAAAAAACAACAGATACCAGGTGATATTACTGACAACAATGCATAACCTGGATCTAATCATGACAAAGCATCAGACAAACCCAAATTGAAGGTCATTCTATAAAATAACCAACCTGTATTCTTCAAAAATGGCAAGGTCATGAAAGATAAAGAAAGGCTGAGGAACTTTTTAGAGATACAACAACTAAATTCAATGCACGGCCTTGGATCTGACTTGGACTGGGGAAAAAAATAGCTCTGAAGGACATTATTGGGAAAATCAGAAGCATTTCAGTATGGACATGTCAATATGTCTGATATTGGTTAGGAAAGAGAATGTCCTTGTTCTTAGGAAATATAGCCTGAAGTATTTAGGGGTACAGGAACATGATTTTGCAATTTATTGTCAAATATTTCAGAAGAAAAAATGTGTATGTGTGTATTAGGCAGAGAGAGAGCAAATAAGCAAAGAGTATGTGGGAGTTTCTTGCACTATTCTTGCAACTTTTCAGTGAACTTGAAATTATATTAAAATAAAATGATTCTTTTTTTGTTTGAGAAACTTTGCATTAAATCATAAGTTCCACAAGGATTGTTTCTCTCTTGTCTCCAAGTGTTTGCTCCTATTATTCCCTCTGTCTAGAACATTCTTCCCCTCCCAATCCTTCGCTTCATCTGGTTAACTCCTATTTAATTTTACAATCTCATCTAAAATATTTCTTCTTCCAGGAAGTCTTCCCTAAGCTCCCATACTCACTTTG